ATTTGTGCTCCTAGCTGTGTTAACTATTAACTATTTTGTGCGTTTGCAGTCACTTGTCACCCGGATCTGATCCCGACTCACGCCTGCTGTGCTCACGTTTTCCTTTTGTTGACCGACTCTGATTGATTCCGGCTCACTTGGAGGACTAACCGATTTTTGTTTGTTGTCTTTACTTTGATTTGGACGGCGCTAACAAACCCTCCTCTGTGCTCGCCAGGGACTACAGTAAAAGCCTGCACAGTCCGAGCTCACGCCAGCAAACACTTGAGTCACCACACACACACACACACACACACCCACAAACACACACACACACACACATTCATAACTGAACCTCCCACCGCTCCCACAAAGGCACACAACAATAAGCAGAAGCTCTGTAACCAGAGGAAAATAAATCTGTGCAGCATTTTTTAAAGACAGGCTCACGTGGGAGGGGGGGTGGAGGGGTTTGGGGGGGTGGGGGGGGCAGAGGGAGGGGTGGATGTGGTTCTGTGTGTCTTGGGAGGTGCATGGTGTGCGATGGGTGGGTCAGATCTAACCCCTTTTGTCAACAGGAAGGTGTGTGTCACCCCAGACTTCCCCTGGTTAAATAAATAAAATAAAAGTATGAGATGGAAAACCAGACATGAAGAAGGTTTACTGTCCCTCTCAGGCTAGTTTGGGACCCAGAAAATGACCCAGAATTCTGTCCCAGAGGGTCGGAAATACCTGAAAAGAAGGAGAAAGTAGAGGGAAAAGTAGATGAACGGATAAGAAATGGGATGAGAGTCTTCATTAGCAGGTTTAGAAGCAGGGAAACATCTAAATCCTGGAATAAACCAGACCCTTAAGACCAGATCTGGACACTTTTGAACATCCAAATGTCAAAAAATGTAAGAAATGAGGGTGTGTTTGAGGTGTGGCCCTGATCATGGACCTAAATTACTTATTTTAAGAACGACTCTCATCAATTTTTGCGTCTTAAAATGCTGAAAGGGAGCCAAGACAGAAGCCAGACCCACCCTAAACCGTTCAGTTGGATTTGGAGGTTGCATGCTGTGTTACTCAGACTTGGAGGAGTGTGTGAAGTGTGTGTTGTGTACTGTTGGACAAAGTTTTTGCTGTGTTTCAAGAGTTGGAATAACTAATACACACTGTGTGAGAGAGAGAAAGAATGAATGAATGAATGGAGGCAGTTAAATCCACCTACCGGGAGTCAAAGTAAGTGGGGGAGTTTGGCCTTGAATACGAATATGAGTTCATTTCCTGGTATGATAGAGTCTGCTTCAGTGAGTTTTCATTAACTTTTTAGATTAAGCAAGACAAACAGGAAACTCAGGTTCCAAAGGTCAGAATTAACTTAATCACCGCGGTGTTTCTGATCTCAGATATGTTCAAAAACAGTTCTGATTTAAAGTTAATGGAAAGTGAGTGATAGATTAGGTAATTTTATAAGAAGAAAATATGCAAATTCTGTCTAAAACCTACAGGACAGGAAAGCAAAGACAAAGGAAAATAAGTAAATAAGTGGATAAATATTAATTAATGACGCTGTGAGATACAGGTTAAAAAAAACGGTGGAAATTGGACATTAACATAAATAAAAACACAATTTAAAACTAAATCAAACTGATTTCAACCTTGATTTCAACTTCTATTTTTATTTAAAAAAATTTTAACCGAGTTTTTTATTTAATCAGAATCAGCATCAGAATCAGAAATACTTTAATAATCCAAGAAGGAAATTATTTTTGTTACTAGCTCCATAAATAAAACGACAGCATATACATATATACATGTCTATATTTATATATATATATATATATATATATACAAAATTCCAAGTTTTTTTATTTAAACTTAAATTTTAAACCAGCCTGAAACCTTTTAATGATGAGCTCCGAAACCAGCAGCTCCAGTGTGGGCTTAGTATCGAGTTGTGGGCGGAGCCCCTTGTTGTGGGCGGAGCCCCTTGTTGTGGGCGGAGCCCCGCGTTGTGGGTGGCGGTCTGAGTGTGTGTGTGTGCCTGTGGGGGGCCGTGCAGGTCCTCCCTGCGGGCTTTCAGCCGGCTCCGTTGGCTCTGCTCCGCAGGAGAAGGAGATGGAGAAGCAGAGGCTGCTGTACCAGCAGTCCCGCCTGCACAACCGCGGGGCGGCCGAGATGGTGCTGCAGATGATCAGCGCCTGCAAAGGTACCACCCCCCCCACAAACCCCAAACCCACCCCCAACCCCCAACCCCATCTGCCCTCACACTGTCTTCCCTACCCCCAACCCCCAAAACCCCATCTGGCCTCCCACTGCTGATCCCTGTCTGTCTTCACGAAACTCTTGAAGACCCACCTGGGAATTGCTGGGTTTCTGCAATTAACTCATTGGCTGCCAAAGAGGTCTATAGACGTCAATTCAATTACAACCGTTGACTACCAAAGACGTCTGTAGACGTCTTTTATGTTTTTCAACACGAGTGGCTTGGGGGACGATCTGCTAAAGCTTGTCCGTAAATATCAGGCTTCTAGACAGAGTATGTAGTAACAAATTGACCCTCTAGGGGGCAGTGCCACTTTTGATGGGAGATGAGCATAGACTGTAGGCAAATAAGAAAAAGCTAACGGTTCGCTATGAGAGAACATGTCGCCGGTGAGACGCAAGTTGAGGAAGAACGGAATAAGGTAGAAACAATTATTTTTTCCTGATGAAAGAAGAGAGTCTACTCTTTCTTTTGGTGTGTTCGGTGTTTACATAGTCATAGCACAAACTATTCTGTGGCTCTTGAAAAATCAGTCAAAATGCTCAAAAAACTCTGGCAGTCAATGAGTTAACTTCAGAGTAGGATCTGACCTGCTCTGTTTGGAAAGCGCTTTGAGATATCTGTTCTTGTGATGGGGCGCTATATAAATAAAATTGAATTGAATTTAATTGAACCTCTTCAAAGAGCATCTCCTATCCTAACCCTAACCCGTACCTGTATCCCCCCACATCTCCTTCTGTAGTCCCTCTACCTCTATCTCTATCTCACCACTGACTCTGATCAGTGTTTCTCCTCTGTATAGCTTATTGTCATAGTGATGATAAATGTAATATTGTGTCTACTCTGTAAGTCGCTTTGGATAAAAGCGTCTGCTAAATGCAGAAACATAAACAGAAACATGTAGTCAGAGGAGCCAGCACCTCGTTGTCTGGCTTCTCCTTAGCGAAGCAGATAAAGAGGAGTGAGGTCATCTCACCAAAAATTCCTCATGGGCCCCATTTGTAAACCCGACCGGAGGGGATGGACCTAAATCAGTGTTTTTACTAGTGTGCCGTGAGTGATTGTCAGGTGTGCCGTAGAAAATCATCCTATTTCACCTAATTGGTCTAAAAAGATATTTTGATAAGGAATTAATTATCTGCAAATAATATGCCATTTTTGAGTGTCTGTGCTGAACTAGTGACTGGTGGAGTAATCATGTAATAATTCCTTATGACTAGATTTTGTGTATAATTTTGTATATTGAGGTGGACATGTTAAGTGCAATTTGAAAGAAAAAATATAAAATATGATAAAAATACATTTTTGTGTTTATTTGATTCCTATTCATGACACTTAATGTAAGATAAGAATAAAATAAGAATAACTATAGTGTCACTATAGGCGGCTACAGATTTGTTTGACATTTTTGGTTGGTGGTATGTGCCTCTGGAATTTTTCTATGAAAAAATGTACCTTGGCTCAAAAAAGGTTGAAAAACACTGACCTAAATGATGCTAAATGTAAAGTTCTGCTTGTTTCAGGCGAGCCAGGAGTCATGGTTTCTTCCACGCTCAAACTGGGAATCTCCATCCTCAACGGAGGCAACAGCGATGTGCAGCAGGTACGGGAGGCCGGAAAAGGCTGGGAAAACTCAGCCACGACAAAATGAAGGAGGCTTTTTAGACTTAGACTTGTACTTTATTGATCCCTAGGGAAGACTACCTCAGGACATTAAAGTTACCAGCAGCTTACAGGGCAAAAAAGTGGCACACAGAGAGCAAAATGCAAAAAAACAAACAAAAAATACAGATTAAGTACAGGTAGGTACACACTAATAATAAATACAAAGAAAAAAATAAAAAACCCTAAATTGATAAAAAATAATCAAAGAATAAGAATAAAAATACAACGTGAAAATAAAGACCCCTAAATTAAGCAAAAATAAGCAAAGAATAAGAATATAAATACAAAGTAAAAAATAAAAGCCCTTAAATTAAGCAAAAAAAAGCAAAGAATAAGAATAAAAATACAACGTGAAAATAAAGACCCCTAAAAAAAATCTAGGAGTTTGGTGGATAGATTGACCATTGATATGTGGTTTGGCCTGATAAATATGGAGTTCACGTTTTACAGAAAAATACAAGATACAAGCCCTCTGGCTGTCAGTAAAACTTCCATCAGCATTTCACGCATCGAGCAGTTTGAATTACCCAATTTTATCTAGAAAAGTCGGTCAGAATCTGGAAAAATGAACAATTTGTACAGTTCTGAGGAGTTTTTTAGGCCCAGCTCTTCTTCTTCTGTCCTCCACTGGTCCAGTTTCCTCAGATGTTTTAAGGACTCTGCTCACCAGCTCAGATCTTTACAGTTTCCAGCCAGCAGCTCTTTGGGAATTCTCAGAAATCCTCTTTCCTGTCTGTCAGACTGGCTTTTCTTTGGCATTTTTCGCCATCAGCTAAAGACACGGAAAAAATTCTGTGTTTTTGTGACGGGCTTCTCCTAACAAAGAGCCTAAAGATCCCCTTTAAAATACTTTTTCTGCTGAGCTGGACACAATGCTGGCTCAGCCCTTGAGTTACGGGCTTTTTTTTTTCCTGCCTGAATGCTTCATAAATCATTATGCGGGACTCCAACAAAGAAAGGAAATTTATCATTAAAATGGTAAATGAGGGAAAAAGCAGCCAGGGTCCCACAAAAATAAAAGAAAGATCCTCGGAAAAGCCGGTTAGACGCTTGTTTTCTGGGGTTTTATTTGTCTGACTCTTTCTCTTTTGTGCGTGTGCAGAAAATGTTGGACTACCTGAAGGATAAGAAGGACGTGGGCTTCTTCCTGAGCGTTCAGGCTCTGATGCAGACCTGCAGGTGGGGGATTTTTCTGACCCTCTCCTGCCGGGGAAACTGGTCTTTGTGAGACTGATTTCTGTTTGAAAACACTTCCTGTCTGCAGCGTTTTGGACTTGAATGCATTTGAGAGACAGAACAAGGCAGAAGGACTTGGGATGGTTTCAGAGGAGGGCGGCAGTGAGTATGCTGCGCACACACACACACACACACACACACACACACACACACACACACACACACACACACACACACACACATATGCCTGGTTCACACAGGATCTTGTGAGTGAATTCCTGGTTCCAGAGACTGGATCCCATGTGGATGCCTGGTTCTACGCACTAGAACCTGTGTGTGGATGCTTGGTTCCACAAATTGGATCCTGTGTGGATGCATGGTTCCATACTGGATCCCGTGTGGGTGCCTGGTTCCACAAACTTGATCCTGTGTGGATGCCTGGTTCCACACTAGATCCTGTGTGGATGCCTGGTTCCACACACTGGATCCTGTGTGGATGCCTGGTTCCACACTGGATCCTGTGTGGACGCCTGGTTCCACAGTAGATCCTGTGTGTGGATGTCTGGTTCCACACACTAGATCCTTTGCAAATGCCTGGTTCCACACTGGATCTTGTGTGGATTCCTGGTTCCACACTAGATCCTGTGTGGATGCCTGGTTCCAGACTGGATCCAGTGTGTGGATGTCTGGTTCCACACTGGATCCTTTCTGGATGCTTGGTTCCACTCTAGATCCAGTGTGGATTCCTGGTTCAACACTGGATCCTTTCTGAATGCTTGGTTCCACACTGGATCCTGTGTGGATGCCTGTTTCTACACACTGGATGCTTTGCAAATGCCTGGTTCCACACTGGATCTTGTGTGGATCCCTGGTTCCACACACTACATCCTTTGAAAATGCTTGGTTCTACACACTGGATCCTGTGTGGATGCCTGGTTCTACACTAGATCCCATGTAGATGTCTGGTTCCACACACTGGATCCTGTGTTGATCCCTGGTTCCACAAACTGGATCCTATGTGGATTCCTGGTTAACACTAGATCCCGTGTGGATTCCTGGTTCCACACTGGATCCTGTGTGGATGCCTGGTTCCATACTGGATCCCGTGTGTGGATCCCTGGTTCCACCCACTGGATCACCGCCCACTGAGGGTCAGGAGATGTCTGGACTCACTGCGTGTCTCTTTGTCTCTCTCCCCCCGACGCCTTGTTCACTTTTCCCCCCATTCGCCCTTTTTTTGTCCGTCCTACTCGTCCAATCGCTGCTCTCGCGGTTCTCAGATATGAAGCTAGAACGCGGTAAATGAAGATTTGCTGTGAAACACTTTCCTCCCTCTCTCACCCTTTCCTGTCCTCTCACCCCCTCCTCTCTCTCTCTCTCTCTCTCTCTCTCTCTCTGGCTCCTAATCACCCGACTAGTCTTTTCCTTGCTGTGAACTTACTAGGCATTTCATTTCACACTCAAGTTCTCGGCTAAAGGAAGCTTTGCGGTCGCCTCTTTAACGGAGGAAACCTGAGAGTAAACCAGAGTGGATCAAAAGTAAAAAAAAAACATTTATTGGGTCACAGTTAAGTGTATCAGCTGGGCTCTGACAGACTAAAACCTCTCTCTGGGTCTCAGTGGGCAAAGAGCCCTGAGATCTGGGTGATGGGCATTATCTCCTGGGCTCCATCCGCCTCCTCAAAGGAGGACTGGACACAACCAAGTCCTATTGGCCAGTTACCTCTGGGCAGGAACAGGCCAGGTCCTAATTCATGCAGATGACAGGAATGCGCTAACAAATGGTGTGTATTTGTGTTGACCTAAAGGTGGATCTAATGCAACAGAGAAAATAAAAAGAGAGAGGAGAGTCTATGGTTACAGACGGAGAATTTAAGACAAAAATATAGTTTTATAAGGAAATAAAACAATTAGTAATTTACATAAATTATTTGATAGCATACAATGTTAAAGTGAGTAGTTATAGCCAAATTCTAACAAGGCGACCGCAGCGCTCCGCTTTCATCCTTGAGTGTTTCTTTCAAATCTTTTGGATCACAGATCTACTGTAACTCCTTGGAGCCCGGTAGCTTTAGCTTTCCCCTCCAGCTCTTTGTGGTCACAGAGAGAAGGTCCATCCTCACAGCCAGATTTCTGTGGAACATCAGATCGGGAAAAGTCACAAGTCCGTCTGGCTGCAGACTGCAGGAAGCCAAGGATGGCTACCAACTCCATCCACATCCAAGTCGGCCATTTTATTAGGTCACCAATAGGAAGATCCCAGGCAAGAAAATCCTAATTGCTTCATGCCAATACAGACATTCATTTTAAAATAGTGAAATGAATCTTGCCAACACTGAATTAAACTCTATCCATAATATTATGTTAAAATAGTGGATGTTAAATAGGTTTGTACAATAAGTCCAAACAAGTTTAACCCAAAAAATATTTCTTTCTCACAATTATGAAGGGTGGAGGGTTAGGGTTAGGGTTGGGTTAGGACATCGTTTATCTTCTGATTTTGTGTAAACAGTAAAGTTTTGTTTCCACCTCAGAAAGCTGCTAGTCACATGACCTAATCAAAATGGCCGACTTGGATGTGGGAGGAGTTGGATATCCAGCCGAGGCTCCTACAGGCTGCAGCCAGAGGCTGCTCGACAGTTCCGATAGGATGAAAAATGCAGATCCTGGGTTCATGCTGTTTCCAGAGAGATATGACTTTGTTATCTATAAAGTTATCTGATGATGAAAAGCAGCAAAAGGCTCCAGCTTTGGTCTTTTAAAGATTCCCGTCATTTACAAATATGCAGCAAATTTGTGTCTGTCCGTCCTTTGCACCCCGCTTTCTTTTTAATATCCCCATCAAAGTATCAAAGCAGCTCACAGCTGCTGGTTCCTGTCCTGTGGTCCCTGTTTGTCTCCAGGATCGAGGTTTTAGGAAATCCCAAACGCTTGTTGTTTTGTTTTGTCTGACTTTGTACACAGAAACGGATTGGTCTGAGCATGCTAATGCATTGTTGTGAGAGACAGTGCTCTAAAAGCATGCTAATGAATTAGGTCAAAATATTGAAATCAGCCAAAGTGAGATGCTCCAAACAAAACAACAACTGATTTTGGTGTTAAAAAGTGAGTTTTTTACCACTGATTTCCACCCTGATGGATAACAGGGGATAGCTCACTGTGCATTTCACAGACTCAACATGATAAAGATGTGTTTGTTGGTTAGTCTGTTAGAGTTCTGCTTCCCCAAACGTCCAAAACCGAGCGAGTTTTGCAGAGTTTTGCAGAGTTTTGCAGAGTTGTGCAGAGTTGTGCAGCATTTTGCAGCGTTTTGCAGCGTTTTGCAGCGTTTCGCAGAGTTGGGCAGAGTTGTGTAGAGTTGTGCGGAGTTTTGCAGCATTTTGCAGCGTTTTGCAGCGTTTTGCAGAGTTGGGCAGAGTGCAGTAGATCTGTCCTGCATGGTGGTGTGGTGTGTAGACGTTTGAGTCTTTGTCTGTGTTGGTTTTTCCTGTTTCCTGTCCTCCTTTATGTGTTCATGTCCGTGTGATGTTACTGTCGTTTGCTTTGCTGTTCCTGTGAGTTCTGTTAAATGTAAAATGTGTTTTCCCTGTAAAACGATTAAACCGAGTGTTAGTTTTTGGAGAAGGAGCGGGAGAAGAGAAAAGGCCTCCAGCAGATAAGCGGATGGGAACTCAGAGGTCTTTGTGGTTTTTTTTAAACTAACAGAAGCTAATGGAAGCAGGCTGGAATGAGCTGACAGTACTTACGCATTTATTTTTTTTATCCATACACACAAAACATTTGTTTTTCTTTTTTTTAACAAGAGGACATAATCATAAATTATCTAGTTTTTGCTCGTTTTTTTTTTATCTAAAGGTTAAACCTCAGAAGAGCAACTGCACATGATGTCTTACAATCTGTTATTGACCTAAAATAAATAAAGTAAATATCGGTTTTTGCTGCCTAGATACTGACTGTTTGAAAGAACAGAGTAGAGAAAACGTATTTTTTCTAAAAGATGCTTCAGACTCACACGTGTGCTTCAGCTCTGCCTGCTGCTAAAAGAGTCGATTTATAGCTGATGTTACTAATACATTTCTGGTTGGTGTGATGAGCCTTTAACCAGCTCAGTTACCTCTAAAGGAAAATGGCTCGGTAATCTGAATTCTGCGAAAATGTACAGTAAATGTACACTTTTTTTGTTTTGTTTTAGATTCAACATGTGGAATTATTTAGAAAAGTTTTCTCATCTCTGTCTGATAGTTTCTCTTTCTGATAGGTGAAAGATAAAATCACCCATTTCCTCATTATGAAAAACCCAGTCTTTTTATAGTGGATAAAAAATAATATATATATATATATATATTATTAATTATTTGTATACAGTTTAAAAAGACTGGATTTTATTTATTTGTTTGTATTTATTTATTTATTTAATATATATTTAAAAAAATATATATATTTCATTATTTGTATACAGTTTAAAAAGACTGGATGTTATTTATTTGTTTGTTTGTTTGTATTTATTTATTTTTTAGTATAGATATATATAAAAATATAAAAAATATATATACATACATACATATATGTATAGATATTTATTATTTAATTTAATTTAATTTAATTTAATGTATTAATTTATTTTATCCCAGAGGACAGTTTATAAGCAGAACAGTGCAGGAAAAAATGCCTGTTTTGAACAGATCCAGTGGTTTAACCCTCCGTATCTTAACCTGAGCCCCATAGAGATCTAACCCCCTCCTCACCTCTGCTCACCGCTGTGGACTCCCCTGAAATAACTCTGAGCCCCCCCCCGTGCACTCACCCCCACCCCTCCCCCCCCCCTGCCTTTTTCAGATGAGAAAGTGATGGCGGATGACGAGTTCACCTGTGACCTGTTCCGCTTCCTGCAGCTCCTGTGTGAGGGCCACAACAACGGTGGGTCCCAGAGTCTCCTCTCATCCGTTTGAATTGAATTGAATTGAATTGAATATACTTTATTGATCTCCAGGGAGAAATTGACTTCCAGTACAGCCCGTACCAAGATCAAACAAACAAAAACACATAGACACACCAGTTCGGGAAGACTGAGGGCAGCCACACAGGAGAGCGCACCAATTTTTCTTCAGAACAAAAAGAATACATTGGGAAAGCGGTTGCGGGAAGAGGGGAAAAAAAAAAGCCCAGTGCCACGCCCCCTACAGGGGACGTAACAGTGATATAAAAAAAACACCTCAGTACACTAAAGCACAGATACAGTCAAATCACAACATCAAGGACACATAGGGAGGGAGGGATGGGGGGTTGGAAGGAAGGGGAAAGGTAACAGCGAGGCAGTGAGTTTCCAGTGGTTGTTGTCTTACTGGTTTTGATGGGAGCTCGTGGTGTGTGTGCAGACTTCCAGAACTACCTGCGCACGCAGACGGGCAGCACCACCACCATCAACGTCATCATCTGTACGGTGGACTACCTCCTCCGGCTGCAGGTTGGGGACGTTTTATTTTGAAGCAAAAGTCTGAGTCCATCTGAGGAAGTGAGAAATATAAATGTATTAAAATGGTAAAAAAGGAAAGGGAAAACTTCATGAAGTGAGAGCAGCCAGGATGACCATAAAGGTGGTTCATATGAGGCACCAAACTGCTTTAAAGTAAAACAAATCATGTAAAACATGGATCTTAATTGTATAATTCAGAAAAAACAACACAGGGCGGTTGTGGAAATTTTATTTTGAAGTAAAAGTCTGAGTCCATCTGAGGAAGTGAGAAATAGAAATGTATTAAAAGGAGAAAAAGGGAAAACTTAATGTAGTGAAAGCAGCCAGTATGACCATACAACCATACAACTACCAAGCTGCCCTAAAGTAAAACAAATCATGTAAAACATGGATCTTTCAGAAAAAAACAACACAATTGATGTGTTTTCTAATTGGAAATTTGTCTCCACTATTAAGTTATAGTTAATGTAATAAGAGTTGCTTGTTCCATATTCAATGTTAAAGCAGAATTATTTTTGTTCCATATTAAAAGGTTCATTTGGTCAATCTTTGTTCAGGTTTTAAATTTAGGCCCACTGTGTTTTTGAGTTTGACACCCCTGCCATAAATAGTTTGAGAGAAATCCTTTCCTAGAGGCATTATAATTATAGGATTTGTAAATGTACATGTACTTATATGTACTCTTGTACTAATATAGAGCTTTTCTAGCCACGTAATTAGTGTAATTAAGCCAAAACATGCTCATCAAAGAGCACATATTGATCCTGTGTGTGTGTAGTTGTTTAAATTGGTTGTCCCCCCCCCCCCCGTGTGTGCAGGAGTCCATCAGTGACTTTTACTGGTATTACTCGGGAAAAGACATCATCGATGACCCCGGAAAGAGGAATTTCTCCAAAGCCATGACGGTGGCTAAGCAAGTCTTCAACAGCCTGACTGAGTACATCCAGGTACGAAACAGGACTCCACACGTGTATCTGGGTTAGTCCAGACCAGGACCAAGCCTTAGCCAGTCAAGACCAGGACTATCCCGGGTTAGTCCAGACCAGGACTAACCCTGGGTTGAGGGAAATCCTTTCATAGAGGCATTATAACCCGGGTCAGTCCAGACCAGGATTTAGCCTGAGCCGGTCCAGACCAGGACTAACCCGGGTTAGCCCAGACCAGGACTAACCCGTGTTAGTCCAGACCAGGACTAACCCGGGGTGAGTCCAGACCAGGACTTATCCTGAACCAGTCCAGACCAGGACTAACCCGGGTTATTCGAGACCGGGACTTCGCCTGAGCCAGTCTAGGCCAGGACTAACCTGAGTTAGCCCGGACCAGGACTTATCCTGGACCAGTCCAGACCAGGAGTAACCCCGGTCAGCCCAGACCAGGACTAACCCTGGTTAATAGCCTGAGCCAGTCCAGACCAGGACTAACCCGGGTTAGTCCAGACCAGGATTTAGCCTGAGCCAGTCCAAAATGGGACTAACCCGGGTTAGTCCAGACCAGGACCTAGCCTGAGCCGGTCCAGCCCGGACTCAGACTAACCTGGGTTAGCCCAGTCCAGGACTAACCCTGGTTGATATTCTGAGCCTGTCCAGACCGGGACGAACCCGGTTAGCCCAGACCAGGACTAACCCGGGTTAGCCCAGACCAGGATTTAGCCCAGACCAGGACTAACCTGGATTAGTCCAGATCAGTACTTGGCCTGAGTGTGTGTGCTGGGACCTGCTGTCTTCCAGGGGCCGTGCACGGGGAACCAGCAGTCTCTGGCCCACAGCCGGCTGTGGGACGCCGTGGTGGGCTTCCTGCACGTCTTCGCCCACATGATGATGAAACTGGCTCAGGTGAGAACTCATTAAAAAAGAAAAAAAGATTTTAAATGATTTATTACCTTCCTGTGTGTTTAACAGACTTTATTTTACTTGGAGTTTATCTGTAGAGCACAAGGTGATTCAAAGTTTAATCTCAAAAGACAAAAAAAAAAGGTTTAAACTGAAAATAATTACTGTTAAAATGGAGTTAGAGAGATATTTCCAGCTGTCAGATCACAGCTGGGCAGATGTTTCCAGCCTGGATTTAAACATTCAGAGTTCTGATCCAGGTTTTAGGAGCATGAAACTGAAAGTAGCCTCTCCTTTTTCGGTTCTGGATCTGGGACCCAGCAGGAGACCAGAACCTGGTTCTCAGAGTCCAGCTGGTTTTTATTCCTCATACACGTTCCTAGACAATTTATTTAGTCAAATAAACTCTTTCTTTTTTAATCGAATTATTATTGAATTAAATTCTTACTATCTGACTTATTGTTTGATATGAATCTGTGTTGGACACATTTCAGAATTTTTAGAATTGATTAAAAATGCTGTAAAATGTTAAAGATGAATGTAAATTGATTTTCTAAAAGGCATTTGAAGTTTCCCAGGACTTATTTTTAATAGCCGGTGACCACTTCAAGCCTCTTGAGCTGTTTTCGTGATTTAATAAGATCCAACTGTCCCAGACAGGATTTGCTGGATCAGTTTTATTTGTTTGTCAAAATCTGTCTAGATTTTTGGGATATTATACCATTTAACTGTTGGCCACTTGTATACAGCTCAGTTATAAAAGAAGAAAGAAAAATGCTGCTAATTAAAGCTGGAATTATTCTAAAACCGAAGTAATTTTAGGTGTGAAATGATCTGGATAAATTTGTTACAGTTGTTCAATTTGGGTTATTTTATATTCTGAATAACTTTATTTAGGGTCTTAAGGATTTTTAAAAAAATATCTCATCTGAAAAATAATTTCCCTTTTTAAGTGAGAAATATAATATGTATATAATAATATAATATAATAATCCCCAAAACTGCCAGATGGGAGATTCAGTTGGATCAGGCGAGAAAATTTCAGCTCACATATTAACAAAGAATGAGGAAATATTCGAACCGGCTTAATGGATGAAGGTCTGGTGTAAAACTTCAGGCTTATTCTCAGGCTGAAAGTGAGTGAAATGTTGATGGATAACGTTTTTATTTCATGTGTGACCCTGTTAGATGCACCCCGATCCCGGACAGCGAAATGGCGTAAGACTCCGTGTTTATCTCATTATCAGGCCCCTTCACGCTTTAATGAGGAAGCATTTCACAGCACTCGCTCAAAAAGAGCCTAAAACAACCCGCGTCATTCACATTTCGCCTTTTTTAAATTAATTTAAGAACGCTTTCATTTCTTACAATCAAATACAAGGTTTCTTTAGCTTGTTTTGTTTTTAGTTTGCTCCATAAGTCATTTAATTCATAGATAAATAATAGATAATTTAGTTCAGGCATAACTTGACCGTTAAGTTTTCTTTAGATTTTGGCTTGGTTGCTTTCTAAAAGGTGTTTTTCTGCTTCTAGGGGGGAACAAAAATGTGATTTTAGGATCTTTTATCAACTTGAATCTGAATCTTTGTGCGTTTGACGCTGCTGCTCATTTAGCTGTCCGGTTATCTTTGTTACTGAGGTGTTATAAAAGGTCCACCGAGAGCCCTCAGAAATGTTCAGACCAGTCCCTGCTCCTCCAAAAGGATCGGTCCTCCCTCCTTTTATACCTGCCTCTGTTTCAAATGTCTCTTTTGCTCCCTATCGCATTCAGTGTAATGTCTGTGTTGCTAAAAGTGGATATTTTCTGTCTAAAAATGCAAACGAAGGATCATTTTTGGAGTAGAACTCACTCTGAGGTATCGTATTTTGCCTAAGTCTCGTCAGAAGTGAAATATGGACCTGAGGAGGACCCGTTTGGAGGCTCACTCCTGTGTTTCTGTTCCCTCTGGTTCAGGACTCCAGTCAGATCGGGCTCCTGAAGGAGCTCCTGGACCTTCAGAAGGACATGGTGGTGATGCTGCTGTCCCTGCTTGAAGGTTAGAAGTCGGCGTCCCATCTCTTTATACTTTTTATTTATTTATACTTTTTATTTTATTTTCATTTTTTTATTCATTTGTTTATTAACTCATTGGCTGCCAAAGACGTCTATAGACGTCTTTTATGTTTTTCAACCCGAGTGGCTTGTGGGACGATCTGCTAAAGCTTGTCCGTAAATATCAGGCTTCTAGACAGAGTATGTAGTAACAAATTGACCCTCTAGGTGGCAGTGCCACTTTTGATGGGAGATGAGCATAGACTGTAGGCAAATAAAATAAAAAACGTAATGGTTCGCTATGCGAGAAATGGCGCCGGTGAGATGCAAGTCCAGGAAGAACGGAATAAGGTAGAAACACATTTTCTTTTCCTGATGAAAGAAGAGAGTCTACTCTTTCTTTTGGTGTGTTCGGTGTTTACATAGTCATAGCACAAACTATTCTGTGGCTCTTGAAAAATCAGTCAAAATGCTAAAAAAACTCTGGCAGTATGGGACTCTGTTCTGAAAATGGCTGGCAGTCAATGAGTTAACTTATATTTTGGCCTGTGGGTGGGGTGGGTGGTCAGGGTGGATTGGGGGTTGACAGAACTGTGACATTGAGTTTGTATTGACACTTTGAATTTGTTCCAACAATGTCTGTCTTATGTTCAAAATGTTCAACAAACAAAGTTTGAAAAAAAATAAAATAGAAGTTGGCGTTCCTCCGTTTTGGCCGCCGTTGGCCGGCCCGATCTCACCCTGTTGTTGTTGTCCCAGGCAACGTGGTGAACGGCACCATCGCCCGGCAGATGGTGGACATGCTGGTGGAGTCGTCCAGCAACGTGGAGATGATCCTCAAGTTCTTCGACATGTTCCTGAAGCTCAAAGACATCGTGGCGTCCGACGCCTTCCGCGACTACGTGACCGACCCCCGGGGGCTCATCTCCAAGAAGGACTTCTCCAAAGCCATGGACAGCCAGAAGCAGTACTCCCCCTCGGAGATCCAGTTCCTCCTCTCCTGCTCCGAGGCCGACGAGAACGAGATGATCAACTTCGAGGAGTTCGCCGACCGCTTCCAGGAGCCGGCCAAAGACATCGGCTTCAACATCGCGGTGCTGCTCACCAACCTGTCGGAGCACGTGCCCCACGACACCCGGCTGCAGAACTTCCTGGAGCAGGCGGAGAGCGTGCTCAACTACTTCCGGCCCTTCCTGGGCCGGATCGAGATCATGGGCGCCAGCCGGAGGATCGAGCGCATCTACTTCGAGATCAGCGAGGCCAACCGCAACCAGTGGGAGATGCCCCAGGTGCGGGAGTCCAAGCGGCAGTTCATCTTCGACGTGGTGAACGAGGGCGGCGAGAGCGAGAAGATGGAGATGTTCGTCAACTTCTGCGAGGACACCATCTTTGAGATGAACATCGCCGCCTCCATCTCCGAGCCCGAGGGCGACGGCGAGGAGGAGGAGGACGAGGAGGAGGAGGAAGAGGGCGGGGGGGACGAAGGGGAGCCCGGGGAGGGGGAGGAGGGCAACGGCGAGGGCGCCGTCCCGGAGTCCGCCTCGGCCTTCGCCGAATTCATCAAGAGCGTGGTGAACTTCTTCAACATGTTCACCTTCCGAAACCTTCGGCGGCGATACCGCAAGCTGAGGCGGATGACCATCAAGGAGATGGTGGTGGGGCTGGTCACCTTCGTCTACACGGTGCTGATGGGCGTCCTGGTCTTCGTCTACAACGTCTGCAAGGGCTTCTTCACGCTCGTCTGGAAGGCGCTGTTCGGCGGCGGCCTCGTGGAGGGCGCCAAGAAGATGACCGTCACCGAGATCCTGGCCAGCATGCCCGACCCGACCCAGGACGAGGTCCACGGAGACCTGCCCCCTGAACCGGGGGCCAGGGAGGTCCAGGACGCGGACGGGGGGGCGGACCACTTGGATTCCGGTGGAGGGGAGGAGGAAGACGAGGGCGGGGAGGAAGGGGAAGGCGGGCGCCTGCCTGGGTTCAACACCCCTGGAGGACTCGGGGACTTTGGAGAGACGACCACAGAGGAGCCCCCGACTCCCGAGGGCACCCCGCTGTTGACGAGGAAGCTGGTAGGTCTTTTTTTTCGGGGTCAAACTGTTTTATTGAGGGATAAGTTGTGAAATTGTCTCCCCTTGTTCCCGATCTGGGCATGATCAAATCAAAAAGACGTTACCAAAGCAGAGCAAACGTAGCATAAATGAACGATCTGTCTCAATCTGTTCACCAGTGATAACTGGATTCTTTCCTCCAGCCATAATGAGACAGATTCAACTTCTGTTCTTCCAGTTTTCCAGCTTTTTTTCGAGAGTGGGTCCAATCTCAGCTCTGGATGAAACATATCTGATAGTTTAACATAAGCAGAACCAAAATGGGGCAATCTGGTCCACAGAGTAAGAGAGGAGATGTATGAGGAAGACTCTGGTGTGGCTTTCTTTGTGTTTACCGTTACGTCAAATGGAATAAGAGTTGTAAACGTGCTTTTTTAAACCAGATAATGAATCTATATTTTAGGTGTGTTCTTGGTCTTTTTATGCCTATTTTTGGTATTTTTTGTTCTGTTTTGGGGTCTTTTGGCTCTGTTATTTATTTATTTATTTATTGCTTTTTAGGTTGGTTTTGGATGGTTTAGCTTTGTTCTGGGTCTTTTTTTGTGTTTATTTTCAGTCTTTTTCCTCCTGATTTTAGTCTATCTGTCTATCTATCTATTAAAACAGTTGGCTGCTGCAGTGGGTGGAGGAGGGGAGGAGGAAAAGGCCGAGCCGGAGGAAGAGCCCCCTCAGGAGACGGAGAAAGCCGAGTGAGTTTCCGCTTTTCAGAGCGTCCTGAGGCAGAGGATTCTGGTCCGTTCTGGGCTGGAACGTGTTTTTCTGGTCCAGCACGGAGAACGGAGAGAAGGCGGAGAAGGTGGAGAAGCCGGAGAAGGTGGAGCCCGAGCCGGAGGTGAAGGAGGAGGAGCCCGAGCCGGAGGAGGAGGTCGCCGTGAAGACCAAATCCAAGAAGGACAAGAAGACAGCGGAGGGCGGCTTCCAGCTGTGGAACGAGCTGGAGGTGCAGAGGATCAAATTCATGGTGAGCCAAACAGCCAAAGGACCTCAGCTCCAGCAGAGGTTGGTGGTTCCATTCCTCTGAATAAAACTATGATATTCCCAGACCAGCAGAGCTGCGTTTAGAGGTCCTTCAATCTATGAAGACAATGCAAAATTCCTCATTTTTAGAGACGCCGAAGATCCAAAATGGTGCAAAGAAAAACAAATATTTTTCCCCTTAAACATAAAAGATTGTTTGTTAAATGACACAATAAAATGTTTTGGATATTTTTGGGACCCAGCAGCTGGAAAATGAGCTGAAGATGTTCACAAACGTGCTTTTAAAATGAGCTTTTACAGTTGAATCAGGACTAGTCTGATTAGTAGGAGTAGAGGTGGAGATCAGAAAAGTGAGGCAGTGGAACAAGCTGGAGGTTCCTTTCCTCTGAATAAAACTATGATATTCCCAGACCAGCAGAACTTCGTTTAGAGGTCCTTCAGACTATGAAGACAATATTGAAGACAAAATTCCTCATTTTTAGAGTCAAAGAGCCAAAGTGATGCGAAGAAAAGAAAATATTTTCCCCCTTAAACCAAAAAAGTTGTTTGTTAAATAACACAATGACATTTATAAGGATATTTTTGGGACGCAGCAGCTGGGAAATTAGCTGAAAATGTTCACAAACATGCTTTTAAAATGAGCTCTTACAGTCGTATCAGAACTCAGACGATTAGTCTGATTAGTAGGAGTAGAAGTGGAGTTCAGAAAAGTTAGAGTTAGAGTAATGTTTTGGCTCGGGCTGCTCCCACTAACTCAATGTTTCCTTGCAGAACTACCTATCCCGCAACTTCTACAACCTGCGTTTCTTGGCTCTGTTCATCGCCTTTGCTCTGAACTTCATCCTGCTCTTCTACAAGGTCTGTCCTGGCTCCCTCCTCTGCTTCTGGGTGCTCTGTTTTTTTTCTTTTTTCAAAAATCTGTTTATTGTTTTTTACAATTCAAAGAGACATACAGACAAATAACTCACAAGTGCCCAAGACACCTAACAAAATTAAAAGAAGAGAAAACACATTAACAATTTAAACATTCGAGGTGACCAGCATTGGCTGATTACAGCGAGACAAAATATTTTAAGATTGATATCTCAGGGTAGTATGTTGAGACTTAGTCCAGGAGATTTAATCACAGTCCGCGGGCTAGATATGAGGTGAAGGCAATGTCCTCCCTGGTTCTATGCATCCCGACGTCAGTGTTTAAGTTTCATACATTTTTGAGCAAGTGAATACATTTGGAATTAACATGAAGATAACAGGCTTACAGTCACTATGAGAATAAAAACATAATCAAAATTAGCTAGAGAACATTCAGCCAATCCTCATTATGAGTATTTACATTTTCCAAGAATAGCAAAAACTTTTCCCATATTTTTTGGAACGCATAGTATTTACCCCTTAATCATAAAGGTGAGTTTCTCCAAGGCAAGAGAGCTTGATAATGTAGACATCCGAGTTTTTATTTGGGGTCTGGTTACAGATTTCTGGGTGGTGTGTTTAGCTCTGATTAAACCCCTCTGGACTCTTCCAGGTGTCTGACAGCCCCCCGGGCGAGGAGGAGCTGGAGGGCTCGGGTCTGTTTGAGGGCTCGGGCCTGTTCGAGGGCTCTGGGGCTGAGGAGGACGGATCCGGGATGGAGGAGGGAGGGGAAGACGACGAGGAGGAGGGGCCCCAGTACTTCTTCCTGGAGGAGAGCACGGGCTACATGCAGCCGGCCCTGTCTTTCCTCTCCATCGTCCACACCATCATCTCCTTCCTGTGCATCATCGGCTACAACTGCCTGAAGGCGGGTGGCTTCAGTCGATGAAATAAAATCCTTAGGTGTCATTTTAGATGATAAAATTAGTCGGAAGGGACATATACAGCATGTCCGGTCTAACCAAACAAGCTTTACACACTTTATATTGCTCATTGTTTCAGCCCTATCTAACCTATTGTGTAGAAGTGTGGGGTCACACTTACAAAACAAACATTCAACCATTGATTATTATGCAAAAGAAAGCATTACGAGTAACCAATAACAAACATTATAGAGATCACACTCACTGTTTATTCCTTGATTCAAGAGTTTTTAAATTTGTAGATCTGATCAATTTCAAAACTGCTAAAAAAATTTATAAAGCAAGAAATAATTTACTTCCTGTGCACATACAACAAGTGTTTTCTGATAGAGACGGAAAATATAATCTAAGAGGAAAATCAAATTTCAAAACTAAGTATGTTCGAACAATAAAAAGAAGCTTTAGTTTATCAATTATTGGAGTGAAGCTCTGGAAGAGCTGGCCTGGAAACATTAAACAATGTAAAAGCATTCAGCAATTCAAAAAAGAATATAAGAAAAGTATTTTTGATGAATACAAAAAAGAGTAATATATAAAAAGTTGGTATACTGTTTGTCTTACTGTAAATAATTGTCCTTTACCACCATGACACATGTAACTGAGGGTAGGGCTTAATAAGCTTATGCTTCATCCTTTTTGAAACATGACGCGTGTTTATGAAGCATTCAATGTAAACATTGTTAAATCATATCATAAATTAAATTAAATGAAATGCTTTCTGCTCTCTTTGCTCCGAACCGAGCGGCCGGAGGGGGAGGGGCGGTTTCTGGACTGAAGTCTCTCTGTGCTTCTCAGGTCCCGCTGGTTATCTTCAAAAGAGAGAAGGAGCTGGCCAGGAAGCTGGAGTTCGACGGCATGTACGTGACCGAGCAGCCCGAGGACGACGACATCAAAGGCCAGTGGGACAGGCTGGTGCTCAACACCCCGTAAGGGCCCTGAACGCAACACAAACCGCCACACAACCACACACACCACAACATGGGAGGAGGAAAATAAACATAATGATGATCAATGAAACATAAATTAGGGACTGGGACACTTTAGATTTATTTTGAATATTGATTGGTATAATAATAATCTTTCTTTAAGGTTATTCTCTCTATAATGAACATTAAATCTTGTTTTTTAGACTTTTTTATTTTGAAAACTCAACTTTAGAAAACAAAAACAACAAAGGCAAAGTTTACAATATCCATAAATAAAAGTTAAATGATAAACTAGAAACCGAAACTTTTATCAAACAAACCTCTAAATAGGAAGTTTTAAACTTTTTCTGCTTTTTTGTTTATTTGTTTGTTTTCCTTTATCAGTTAATCAGTTGATTAATTCTTTTGGTTGAAAATTTTAAAGGCTTAAATTGAGTTTTTTGCTTACATGAGACGGGTTTCTTAAGATGATGGAATTTACTTATATTTTAAATAAAGCCTTAGACAGTACTGACGGTATATTACTGGTTAGTGTCTGTTCTTATTTACATTAATTATGTAATTGCTGTTTAGAACTGATTGTTAATAGAAACTCTGTTAGTCCAAAAGTTTGTACCTTCCAGCTTATCGGTTAATTGAATGAGGACATTTTTTTTATTAAATTGGTTTTTTTTCTAATTTTCATTGGCTGGAGATGCAGATTTTTTTATTAAAAAATGTTTTAATTAAAAAAAATAATTGGCTTAAGATGGAAAAGCAGGATTGTTATACCAAGATGAAAATAATTTTTATTATTCATCATAATGTGTTTCCTTTTCTTTAAATAGAACAAAGCCTAATTAGTTCATTCATGACATTCGTGATTTCATACGTCTGCTCTTCCTGTTTCCATTTGTGTCAGAGGCTGCCTTTAGGAGAGTTTAATCACCTCAGAACACATCTGGATGTCTTTGGGTTAATAATTAGGAACGCTGTTCATTTTTTTCTTAACTCAGGACTTTCCCAAACAACTACTGGGACAAGTTTGTGAAGAGAAAGGTGAGTTCCTGCTCCCGTCCCGGCAGATTTCCGTCTCTGAGCGTCCCCTGTGTCTGTGAGCCTTCAAATCTGTGTGTTTTACCTCCAGGTTCTGGACAAATACGGGGACATCTACGGCCGGGAGCGCATCGCCGAGCTGCTGGGCATGGACCTGGCCTCGCTGGACGTCAGCGCCATGACGCACGAGAAGAAGCCCGAGCCCGACACCTCCATGTTCAGCTGGTAGGTGCCCCGGTTTTCAGCCCGCCCCGCCGGACCTGGAGGACTTTCTGCCTAACCCCCCCCCACCCAACCCCCCCCCCTCTCTCCACAGGATAACGTCCATCGACATCAAATACCAGATCTGGAAGTTTGGCGTGGTCTTCACAGACAATGTGAGCAGGAGCAGAACGCACCCCCTCTCTCTTTATGAATTCCAATTTATTCAGTATTTTGTTTGCTAATGTTAGCCCGATTCTTTAGTTGGAAACCTGAGCATAAACCAGAGTAGATCAAAAGTATAAAAATGACATTTATTGGGTCACAGGCAATGTATCTCTGCCCTTTCTCTATGGAGGCGGTTAACCTGATTCTTTAGTTGGAAACCTGAGAATAAACCAGAGTAGATCAAAAGTATAAAAAATGACATTTATTGGACACAGTTAAGTGTATCAGCTGGGCTCTAACAGACAAAAACCTCTCTCTGGGTCTCAGTGGGCAAAGAGCCCTGAGATCTGGGTGATGGGCATTATCTCCTGGGCTCCATCCGCCTCCTCAAAGGAGGACTGGACACAACCAAGTCCTATTGGCCAGTTATCTCTGGGCAGGAACAGGCCAGGTCCTAATTCATGCAGATGACAGGAATGTGCTAACAAATGGTGTGTGTGTGTGTGTGTGTGTGTGTGTGTTGACCTAAAGGTGGATCTAATGCTACAGAGAGAGAAAAAGAGAGAAAACAGAGTCTGTGGTCACAACCAGAGACTTTAACACAAAATTATAGTTCAATAAGGAACACGACAATCAGTAATTTACATAGATCATGTGATAGCATGCTATGCTAATTATAACCAAATTTTAACACTAGGTAAACTTGCAAAAAAACAAGCAAACAAAAAACAGATAAGTTAATAAAGGGAATTGACACAACTGTTAAAATGTGTTTTTTAATAGGTATTAGTGTGTTTGCAAAAACAGTGTAGCTATTTCCTGAGATTAGCCTGCTTAGTCCTTTCCAAAAGCTCATGATCTTTAGATATAAATCTTAAGAGTGACAATGAAGAAACACTTCAATGAGAAAATTCTTCTGTAGTGAGATAAAACCAACCTATCAAAAATCTCCAGGTGTGAGCAGAGCCTCTTTTCTCCGTCCCTCCTTCCCTTTAGACGTTCCTCTACCTGGTCTGGTACATGCTGATGTCCATGCTGGGCCACTACAACAACTTCTTCTTTGCCTGCCACCTCCTGGACATCGCCATGGGGGTCAAAACCCTGCGCACCATCCTGTCCTCCGTCACCCACAACGGCAAACAGGTGCGGCCCCCACCCACCACACAAAAGAGGGCGGGGCCTTTGGGGTCTTTAGAATTAAACCCAATGCTACAGCTAGCTAAAGGGAAGTCGAACACTGGCTGAAACACAACGGCTTCAATATCATTTAATCATCCAGAACCTGCTGCCTCCTACCACTGAGGAAGAGTTTTACAAATAAACACCCAATAAATAAAGGAATAGCTAAAAAAAATGAATAAAAAGTAAACAAAATAGAAAGAAACATGTCATACATCCATTTTAAAACCAAACCAGGATCTATAAATGATACATAAGCCAATAAATAATCCGACAGGAGCCCGAGCAGCCCTGTTTGGAGGAGATTTTAAACCCCTCCCACTTTGTTTTTGTACCAAATGCAAAAGGTTTTGATAACATTTAGGACGTGGGAGCATTTTCTATATGTTCTGGGCTCTCCTTCAACAGTGTAACATAGTGTAACTCTAACATCCCGACACATTACAGTTTTGTTTTATTATCAGGATCCTTCTTTTTTTCTTTGACCTTTGACCTTTTGGCCTCATAGCAGACGCTATAAGACACTACCGTTCTTATTGTGTAATTACAATATTGTAAATAAGAAATTTGGACTGTCTGAACCGATTACAGAGACAACATTTAAACCTTTTATTATGTTGAAATAAAATCACATTGATTATGTTGTACCGTGTAAATGAATGCAAAACAGTCATAAAACAGGTTAAACCAATTAACAATTATGTAACATTGAATAAACCTTTAGAAAAGTTACATATAATAAATCTATATTTCTAACACTTTCTTTAATTAAACCTATAAACACACATTTTAAATCTAAAGATAAACCTGCTGAGCCTATATGAAGTAAAACTATCCATACCAGGATAAAGTCTAGTTACTGGGTACTACTAATCCCAGATATACTGAACAAATAAAGCTCTAAACGGGATAAAGGCGTGGTGTCAGGTGGTCAGGAGGGCCTCTGTGATTGGCCCAAACTGAGGGCGCTCTCCCCCCAGCTGGTGATGACCGTGGGGCTGCTGGCCGTGGTGGTCTACCTCTACACCGTGGTGGCCTTCAACTTCTTCCGCAAGTTCTACAACAAGAGCGAAGACGAGGACGAGCCGGACATGAAGTGTGACGACATGATGACCGTGAGTGGGGGGGGGGGTCTTATCTTACTTATATTTTCTTACTTATCTTATCTTATCTTATCTTATCTTATCTTATACATCTTACTTATATTATCTTATCTTAGCTTAGCTTATATATTTTACTTATATTATCTTAGCTTAGTTTAGCTTAGCTTAGCTTATCTTATCTTACTTATCTTATCTTATATCAACTAGTTATATTAGCTTAGCTTATCTTATTTTATCTTATATATCTTACTTATATTATCTTATCTTAGCTTAGCTTAGCTTATCTTATCTTTAGCTATTGGATGGATGGATAGATTAATGGATGGATGATAAGGTGGATGGATGGATAGATTA